TCTGGTACCAATTAACCGACCCCGGAGGGATGGAAGGCTTGGTTGGCCCGGGCGACTCACGACCCAGGAATTGATCCCGGACCGCTCGCGTGGTGAGCGCGCCACTTGTCACTGCACCACTTCCGCCCTGAAGATTAGTTTTGATTAATATAGCGTACTGTTATCTGTGGTCACTACTATTTGCTTTCGGTACTTGCTTTCGGTACAAATCACGGTTGCTTTGGAACCGTGATTTGAGGACTTTTCGCATATATCTCTGAATTCACTAATTTTTGGTAATGTCAGGGATGGGCGGATAGAGATGTAGTGGCACGTCGCGCGTACCATGCGATCTGTCCGGATCAATCTGGGTCGCCCAGGCCAACCAGCTTCCTCCTCGGGGGTCGGTTATCCGGTAAGGACTTTGTCTGGAAGAGGGAACAATTGTACATCGGCTGGCCCCGCAAGTCGTTGTATAGGCCACATCGCATTCAAGCCACTCCGAATGTACAAATGGAAGTAGAATGCGTGCCGCATCCCAAATAGGGATTGATCAACGGCGAATGATTTATCCTTATCCTTTTTTATTTCGAGGGATAGTTATAACTGGTATATGCTGGATAGAATGATAGGCCAATCAAGTTTCTTCGATTTATAAGGGATAGCACAACACGTACACCTTCAAGAAGTCTATTCAATTTCTAATCGGAACTATTCGCCCGACTAACTTCACTCAAATACTATGTATTGTAGTCATCCGAGCCAGTGAAAACGTCGCTTACTCTTCACACAACTCACGATATTGACAACTCTTAAAATGAAAGTGTGGTCACGTACTCGATCGGTCATCGTGGAAGTGTTTGTCGCGGGCGGCATGCTCGTTGATACCGTAGGCCGGTAAAGTGCTAGCAGGCTGACAATTGGTTCGTCCACACACACGTACCACCTTTACTTCTGCAATGCTGCTGCTCAGCGCCGTTATTTTCTTATTGAGTAAGATTTTTGAAAATGGTAGTAGTCATCTGCCTACTTAGATGACATTGAAAACAGGTCAGCTTTTAGAAGTATGCTCTATTCCACTTCCTAAAACCTCTTTCGACTTCAGTGCAGGAGAATTCCCATTTAATTGTTGTTTGTGGCAGCCTTTCGCTGCTCTAAGGAAGAAGTGGATGTGATGGAAGCTCACCCGGCGGGATGAAGGGATGTGTAAAGGGGCAAAAATGGAGTCACACTCCCAGTAACGCACATCACTATCTTTTCGTCACACAGGTTGCCGTCAATGATGGAAGATTACTGCAAAACATTCCTCAGATGTCCTCCATGAGCACAAGCAGGCTCTTTTCACGGCCCTGACTGTCGGACAATGAGATCATCTGCCACCAGCTCGAGCTCAAGGAAACCTACCGTAATCGGTCTACCATCCTAAACCGCTGCATAGTTTCTACAATCGTCGATAAGTAGATTTCCAGTGACTCTGCCTATGCAGCATCCCTTTCCCAACGTTTCAAATAAGGTCATAATGGCTCATAATCTATTGAGGACCTCGTTGAGTTCACACTGTACACCATGTTCTCCTAGGAAAATCTTTTGATGTATTTCATGAAGGATGTCATTATAGCTTCTAGGATTATTCGCTTAAACTTTTGCAAAGCGTGATCAGTTCCATTTATTCCAGAAGTGAAGGAGAGACTCTCATTAATCCTCCCCCCCCCCCTTTTCAAACCACGAAATGTTTTCCAGAGCAATACGGTCTTCTTCAATGTTTCAAGTAGAGTACGATTTCCAGCACAAGGCTGTATCAACCCCAAGCACCACAAAAGGCATACTCTAGCAATAACGGGAGCCATTTTGAGGAAAACGTCTGCTGAAACGGCGATCATTCCCGCGTTGCTTCCAATCCATTTTTGTGTGTAACTCACATGTTGGAGACCGAAGTCTCAGAAGAAAGGATAAGTACGAACAGTGCTGAAATGCGCATCAAGCTGGCGCTGACAATACGCTCAATTGAAACATTGTCTGCTTATCGATTTGGCATTAAAACGTCTTGTTTCTAGATCACTGTAACGTCGGTCCTCATGCAAAAAATTGGCATGGTTCCCAACAAATCATCAATGCGTTTCCATGGACAAATTCGTCACACAAATACAGATTTCTTCACATTCCCATATCTTTCCCTATAAGCAATGATGTTGAGAGGAGATTTAACGCATTGCAGTCCACACACATTGGCGGGTTAGTGCACCGAAACTCCCACTTCCGGCATTTATGCATCGCCGATTATGCTCAACGGTACCATAGTACACCCCCTCAGCTTCAATTTACGCGATTTTCCGCTACTTTCAAGCTATTCATCTTTCGCCACTGTTACGAACCCATGAAACAACCGCCCAGACGACATCTGCTATTTCACCGGGTCTATGATACTTCGGAATTACTAACTCTTTCGCTACCAAGTGTGCGGACAATCGAGCGAGTACCTCAGGTGGTACATACGTCGACATCGGCGCAGCGTTGTGTTAATAGTAGTGGAACCACGGGGCCAGTGGCACTATGGAGGGTGCAAACTTTCAGATCGCCTTTCAAAATGGCGCCAGGTCATTTTCATGAAATACCCCTGAGCGCAGCATACCGTTACAGTAGTTGTTTCGATTTAGAAATAAAGTGATGGCTTTAATTTGTGCAACCGTGGAGTCTTGTCGTATGTAGCTGTGCACGCTAGTTTAACCTTCTCAGAATGCACAAGATCTTTGTAGTTTACCCATAAATTCGGCATTACAGTAGCGGTCAAAAGTTTGGAAACTTTTTTATTTTTGATCTAGCGCGGCCGACACATAACGAAATTGTCTCAAATTTAGATATTACATACAAAATCAAGTCCAGAATACGACGGGAAGAATAATTTCCAAAAATCTATAATCATATTTGAGAAATAAGATTTTTTCAAGTAATGGCGCGTCAAAAGTTTGGAAACTTTTTGTTTCCCTCATCATTATGATTCCTACTCTTCAATGTTTACTTGTTTCTGTTAATTTTAGTTCAACCATTGAGTAATGTGTAATTTCAAAATGAATTCATATGCAAAGGAAGCAGTTTTTCCATGGGAGGTCCTTTTTTAAACCCTACAATCCGGAATACGAAATTGAAATTGTTTTTAGTAGTTCAGTCTCTACGGAAGCAATATTATCGAATGTTTTTAGCGTTTTTGGAGTCGAGTAAGCATAAGAAGAATGATCATTCACAAAAAAGTATCTCACAAGAAAATTGGCCCTCCTCAAATACTTCGAAGGGTGGTTGGCACGTCCCGTACCCCCGATATGCCCAACTAAGAGACGATTTTTTCTGGTTTGAACCTAATCGTATGAAAGTCCAAGCACAGCCAACATCGGCCACGACCTGGTGAATATTACGGATGATATCCCAACAAGAAGCCATTGTTGGGCTTCAAGAGCAGGATGGCTTCCGCACACTAACGGCTAACATGGACCGAAGGCGAGAGGTAAAACTTTGTCCTCAGCGACGAATGGGATTTCTATCTTCCTAAAAATGATGTTGTGGACCCTGTGAAGTGTTTTGTCAAATGGAACCTCATTTTGAGTATGAGATTCCAACAGTCAGAAATAGTGGAAGTATTGTCATGGATGAAGATGTGTCCGACCATTCGGCCAGTTCTAGGTATCCAGCGAAATGTGGGTTGGGCTAAGTACAAGTATAGTCTGTAGAATACAATGCTTCCCTTCGATAGTCAGAACTAGCCGGAAAAGATGGGTTTTCTCGTGGAAATGACCCAATGCAGGCCTACCTCCTCACTGCCGCCTTCCTAAACCCAGAAAAAGAAGCTGTTATGAAGCGACCAAGTCAAGATCTAAAGTCTAATTGAGTTCTACATCCCACGGAAGAACTGGCATGTCGCTCAACCCACATTCCAGTTAAGAATCCCACCAAACAATGTGATTTAGTTCACAGTGTGCAGGGTTCGACTTAAAAGTCCTAAAATTATTTTATAGTCAACGTCGTGTCAATAAAAACGACGCTGGCATAGAAACTCAC